ATAATCCACTTGAATCAAACCGTGTAATATGATGTATTAAGAACTATGTAATGTTATGAACGACCAATAAAAAAAAAAAAAAAAAAAAAAAACAAAGTGCACTGATGTTTGAAATTTAATTTGAAAAGCATTTAAAAATTAAAATGACTGATAAATATAGATATGAATAGACATGTCATAAAGTAAATATCACAAAAATTTGATTGCTGAGTCTAGATAATAAGTATAAGAGTATTCAACAGAAAATTCTCTTAAATTCTCTGTGTATTTTTTAATGTCTATATTAAAATGACAAAAAAATAAATAAGACCTACCTCACAGGGTTTTGATGAGGATCAAATAAATTAAACTCACACAGTGCTTGATGCGTGTTCATAAGCAGTAGTGTGTCACAAATTATTGCTTTGAAACTGACTGCAACTTTAAGAGAATTAGACTTAACCCAAACTTTTAGAATTAAATATTAGGGGAGGCAGATGATGATGATGGTTTTAGCTGCTGAGTTGTGTGAATTCTGTATCCACAATGGAAATTCATTTCTTGTCAGATGTGTAGTTTGCAAATATTTCCTCCCATTCTATAGGTCGTCTCATCACTTGGTTGACGTTTTAATTGATACAACTCCATTTGTCAACTTTTCCTTTTGTTGCCTGCCCATCTGGGAATGTAGCCAAAAACTCTTTGCCCAGGCCAATGTCCTGAAAAGCTTCTCCTGTTTTCTTCTAGTAGCTTCAAGGTTTTCAGTCATTTTTTTTTTACATGTTTTTTGTTTGTTTGTTTGTTTGTTTTTTAAAGAGAGAGAGAGAGAGAGAATTTTAATATTTATTTTCTAGTTCTCGGCGGACACAACATCTTTGTTGGTATGTGGTGCTGAGGATCGAACCCGGGCCACACGCATGCCAGGCGAGCGCGCTACCGCTTGAGCCACATCCCCAGCCCCAAGGTTTTCAGTCTTAACATTTAAGTCTTTGATCCATTTTGAGTTGATATTTGTAACTGGTGAGAGTCAGAGGTACAACCATTGTTTATGGTATTATTAGTTGTGATATATTGTTCTGGGCTTATAAAGTCTACAACAGTTGTTTGTATGATACGATTTGCAAAGAAATTAAGAAAGGGGAAGAGAGAGTCTCTTCTATTGTTCACATATTTGCCATATTTGATGATCATACTCTTCGGGGATCCAAAATTTCATCTGTCATCACTCCCCCTTAACCTTGAAGAACTTCCTTTGACATTTCTTATGGTATAGGTGATAAATTCTCTGATATTTCTTTATCTGAAAAAATCTTTATTCATCTTCATTAAAATGTTATTGATATGTAATTCATATGCTGTAAAATTCACCCTTTTAAAGTGTACAATTCAGTGGTGTTTAATATATTCACAAGGTTGTGCTATCATCACTGCTAATTCCAGAATCACTGTTGTTCTTGAAGGCGTATTTTTTGGTAGACAATTCTGGTTTAACAGGCTTTTTTCTTTTCTTCTAGTACTTGACCCGTGTTCATTTGCTCTCGGCCGTCATGGAGTCTGAGGTGGAGTCAGTGATTAGCCCGCTCCTTAGTTTGAAATGCATCCTTCTCTCATTGCTCTTTACTTCGGCTTTCAACAGTCTCCCAATGATGTATCTTAACACAAATTTCTTTGGGTTCATTCTGTCTGGTATTCTTTGAGTATCTCTTAGAAATTTGTAAATTTCTCTTCTTGATCAAATCTGGGAAATTCTGGCCTTAATTTTTCAAATATTTTTCTATCCCATTCTCTTTCCACATTCTTTCTTCAAGTTCACTTGCTTTTTCTTTTGCATTTTTATTCAACTGTTGAATCAATTCAGTGAACTTTTATATTTCATGCATTATTTTCCATTTCCAGAACTTCCATTTAGTTCTTTTACATTGGTTTTATTTGTCTGATTTTCCTATATTTTTCCTTCTGAGAGAGTATCATTTTATTTTGTTAAGAATACTGTAAAAGCATCTTAAAAATTCTTATCTACTATTTCCAGTATCACATTCACCCTGGGAGAAGCCTTAATGATTTTCTTTCCTCTTGGGATATGTTCCATTTTCATGACTATTAACATGTAGGGTAATTTTGGATTGTATCCTGAATAGTGTAAATGTTACTTGTGAAGAGCCCAATTTCTCCAGTGAGTGTCACTTCTTTTGTTTTAGTAGACAAATACCTTGATGTGGCTTGACTTGAATTTTAAACTTGTTTCTATGGAAGCAGCTCCAGTCCCAGCTGAGATTTCTTACCTTTAGCTGAGTTACTCGGAGTCTGACACATTCATGCTTAGTTCAAAGGTTAGTCAGAGATGTGGTGCACAAAATCTGAGGATGACCTCCTCTCCCTCTTCTTCCTCTGGGATTCTACTATCATCACTTGTTAGGGTTCCCCAGTTTCATTTTCTAGTTTCCCTAACCAGAAGACTGCTATTTTTCCACTGGAGTCCCCACAGCGTGGAACATACATAACCGGATCAGTGTAAAAGCAAAGCTACTTCTTAAAAGCACCACTCCTTCCCTCCTCCAACTGTGGACTCCGCACCAGAGCT